CGTGTTCCCTGTAGCGTCCTGTAGGTGGCCGTGCAACTGCTTTGCTGGCTTGAACTCTGCCCAGTCAGATGGTCGCCGATGAGGAGAGTTTTTTGCAGCAATTTTCATCAGGGTTCCATGTTGCTATGATCGAATCCTGAGAAATCGCAGAGTTTCCTATAAAACGGGACTTTGGCACTAAAAACCGTTTAATGGAAGGGAGACGCGGCTGCAGAAACCCCGCCTGGGAGCGTGGACTCTGTCACTCATGAGCTTAGTTCTGTGACTTCCCGGAGCCATTTGGCCACATGGCTTTAAACACGAACCAACCAGTAAGCACACGAGCCAAAAGCAGGGCTAAGAATAATGACGTCAGGAAGACTCAGGATGCTCAGTATCCTCTGGGCTAGGCCAGCCCGTCTACTTTTGCACTTGGACGACAGTCCAATGACTTTTGCACTTGGACACCAGTCGTCAACTGGGAGACGGATACGACAGCCTCGTCTTCACTGTAGGTTTAAAATTTAATACCTGAGAGCCCTAAGCCAGGATTGATTTTCCCCATAGGAAAGTATTTCATTCTGACACTGAAGTATCAGAGGGGCCACTTGATTCTCCAGGGTGAAAAGCGAAAAGCTTTCTAAGTTCCTTCACGAGTGATTGTTTTCTCCTCCCGGGAGGGACGCAGGGTGACGGCGAAGTCGGCCAGTACGTCACCTGGATTCAATCTCTGCTGAGCAGGAAATGCATCAGGAAATTACATCATTTTCAAGAGAGTGCACGAGGAAACCAATACGGGATTTAAAAAAAAATGCTATGAGCAGGAAATCTCTAAGGCACAGGCTGCTCCCTCTCTGTGACTCTCAGCTTTCCCGGGAGCGTCCCAGAAATGACTTAAACGCCTAAGAGACCACTTACCGCTGCATAGAGACCAGGGCAAAGATTAAGTTCTCACAGGAAGTTCACATATCAAGTCTGCGAATGCAGCGCTGGGTCAGCCGTGACTCCGCTTGTAATAAAACACTGTATCTGTGCACACATGTGCACACGCAAAATATAAAACAGTCAGGAAAAGAGCAGAAACCAAAGAAACATATAAAGCTAGGTTGAAACGTTCGTCTCAAACACTCAGAAGAGCAAACTTTGAAACACAGGAAATAAAAACATGGAAAAGACTTCCGAAATTATCAAAAGCAACGTCCAATTAATGGAAGAGGGCACTGTGGCCCAGGAAGGTAAATGTCCCCTATGCCGTGTGACTCTGCAAAGCCACCATCTGAGCCAGCAGCTTCATCTCTTGCACTTCTGATGAACTAGTCAATTCATGCCACATAAACCTCTGCACTCACCCTCAAAGTAGCACCCTCTACTTCCTAGAATCAGGGTTTGCATGAAATTTGAGGGGTCATTCAGTTCACTCCCCTTACATTAAGCACAACTAAGTTTCATAGATATAATAGATACTCACTTTCCTTGTTTGTTGTAAGGTCTATAAAGAAAATCAGGTCTCAGTTACTTTGCTATTGCCCCTATTTATTGATTCAAAACAATGTTAGAATACCTACGATGGGTAACTCACTATGTCACGGGGAATGGGAAATAATTTAATTAATTGGGCATGGATCCGGTTCATAAGATGCCCGATGACTAGTAGAGGAGATAAGGCATGTACCAAAATAATTACAAAATCAGGCAGACAAGGGCCAGGAAATTACAAGAGGACTACAGAAGATAGTGTCATTATTCTCAGCTGGGGGAAGAAGAAAGTGGCTTAGAGGCGACTCTGAGATGGGATTGAGATCTACGGAGACACAGGGACATTCCAAGCTAGGGACTGTGCAATCCAAAGCAAGGCAATGGCAAGTACGAGGTATAGAAGGAGAAAACCCAAGCAGTTCAGCTTTACAAAAGCAAGCACACAAATTGGAGAGTTTGTAGAATATAAAACTGGAAAGGTAGATTTAGTCCAGAATGTGTGGGATTTCAGGAGCCTGCAAACAGGTGCTTCATTCCATCCTGTAGTCCGTACGGAATCATTTATCCATTATACAAAAATTTTAAGCAACGCCTAAGTAATGAGTACTAGAGATGCAAACTTGGACAACACGTGTGATCTACTTCCGAGGGCCTTACTCTCTGCTGGGAGTGACAGATAAGTAGTCAATGATCACAGTCGAGCAGTGTGAGAAATGTCATGATAACATGTACAGAGTCACATTGGAGGATACAAGATTAGGGAATAACAACAGAAGATTTCTCAAAGGAAGACACTGAGATCAGTAGTAGTTCTCTAGATAGAGAACGGGATATGGGTATTCAGGTGATGACAAAAGCATGTTAAAGACACTTGACAGTGTAAGAAATATAAAGTGTTCCAAATAAATCGAGCAAAAGGCTAGAAGCATGGAGGGAATAGGGCTAAAAAACAGCCCAGGGTCAGAAAAGACAGGGTCCACAGCACCAAGGACTCCAACTGTGTTTTAACCCAAAGCCATGGGAAATTAGGAAATTATTATAATATATGAAAAAGACACTTGCTCTCAAATGTTTATAGCGGCTCAATTCACAATCACAAAGACGTGGAAACAACCCAAGTGTCCATCGATACATGAGTAGATTAATAAAATGTGGTATGTGTATACCATGGAGTACTACTCAGCCATAAAAAAAAAAATGGTGAACTAACACCTTTTGTAACAACCTGGATGGAACTGGAGACCATCCTCCTAAGTGAAGTATCGAAAGAATGGAAAAACAAACACCACATGTACTCACTATTAAACTGGAGCTAAACGATTAAAAAAAAAAAAATTATGTTTCGTGAAAATAAACCTGGTGGCAGCATGTAGAAAAAATTGGGAAGAGTAAAGACAAAGTGACTGTAAAATACTTTACCCCAGAATCTAGAAAAGTAGAGGGCCCAAACTAGCCCAGGACAAGTGAGAATTTCAGGAGACAGAATTCATTCGGTTGAGCAAACCAAACATTAGGGACCAAAGGAAGATGTTAGATACCTTGTGTTTTAAAATAGATACAGCAGGGAAAATAGATCTAGCAGTGGAAAAACGTGTAAGAGGTAAAAAGAGAACAGAACCCGTGGAGAGAGAGAAGGGGACCTGCCGTCCAAAGGTCCATCAAGAAAACAGGAGGACAGAAGGTTTGGGTCTGTGGATAGGGTGACGGCAGTAGGAGGCGGCCGCTGGTGACCAAGCTAAATGGTGTCTCTCAATAAATCAATGTCAGGAGAGGATGGAGCAGAAGCCAAACTACGAGAAAACTACTAATCACTGGGTTGTGAAAGCGGAGTACCTTTTGGAACTCCCTGGAGAAATTTAACTGGGGAGGGAAGGAGAGGAGGGCTGGTAATTTGAGAAGCATCGTGGGAATTTTTTGGGTAGCAGAGACTTGAAAGGGGGTGTAGGCCAGAAAAAAGAATTCAGAAGAGAGAGAATTTAACAGCCTTTCCTGGCAAGAAGTTCATATTTCTGCCTTTAATCTACAGCCCAAATAATTTCCTCTTGCTTTGTTTTTGAAGATCAAGGACTTCAATTCGCCATCCTCTAAATGGTGAAGACCTTCATGTATTTGGGGTCTGTTATTAAATCACACCTCAGCCTTTACTTCTGGCTGAAAACACCGATCCATTAGTACTTTCTTGTGAGTGTTACTTTCCAAACTTTTAATCGTCTCCATGGCTTTTCCTCTGTCTCTGTCTCCACATTCTACAGTCTTCTTTGAAAAAACTTCACAAGAGGGTCTGACAATTTAATAAAGGCTGTGCCTAAATGGAGTTCCTAAAAAGGCAGTTATAGCAGCACGATTCACAATCGCAAAGATATGGAAACAACCCAAGTGTCCATCAATACATGAGTGGATTAATAAACTGTGGTATATGTATACCATGGAGTACTATTCAGCTTTAAGAAACAACGGTGATATAGCACCTCTTGTATTCTCCTGGATAGAGCTGGAACGCATTCTACTAAGTGAGTTATCCCAAGAATGGAGAAACAAGCACCACATGTACTCACCATCAAACTGGTATTAGCTGATCAACA